ATCTAAGCAATAACCGCAAATGCAGAACAGGAAGGAAAGACAGCCAAAAAAAGAAATCAGAGAAGCGGATTCCGATTTGAACCGATCCATTATTAGTCCATAAATACCCAGCCTGTGGACCGCCGGCTATGCCCGCTCCTTCCCTTCTACAGTAAGCATATTTGTGAATTTTTTTTCCCCCCTTTGGTAATCTTTTAACCTTTCCCATGCCGTATCAGTTGTCTTCTGGGCCCATTAGTGCTAATGGCCCTGCTCTCACATAAGCTGTTGGGACTCATTACCCAGTTATCGGGTAACAAGAGAAAAAAGGTGGCCTGCTTTTTGTGTACGGTTTTTAAGTGGTGACCTGTGCCGCTTTAGGGCTAAAGGACTCGAAAAAGAACAGAGAAAGTATCAGCGTTACTGCGGTGAGGAAATCCGGGTGTTTAAATTTGTGTCTGGCGTGTCAGAAGTACATTCTTTGAGAAGGAGGGGGGGGGGAGAGAGAAGCTGTGAAAATCCTGAGCATCACCTTATTGTTCATTAGAATTATAGGAGCCTTGGAGATCCTGTGCAGGAGTCTTTATATCATCCCAGACAAATGGTTATCCAAACTTTTCTTGAAAACATGCATCTACTATGTTCATCAGAGAAGCAACCTGGAATTAAGGTGAAACTTCCTAACAGTGAGGACAATTAACCAGTGGAACAGCTTGCCTCCAGATATCGTAGGCGCTCCATCACTGTAGATTTTTAAGAAGAGGCTAGCCCAGGGGTAGGCAACCTTGGCTCTTTTATGACTCGTGGACTTCAACTCCCAGAATTCCTGAGCCAGCATGGCTCAGCTTGGAAACTCTCCCTTTCTCCTCAGCATGGCTGGCTCAGGAATTCTGGGAGTTGAAGTCCACGAGTCATAAAAGAGCCAAGGTTGCCTACCCCTGGGCTAGACAGCCACCTATCTGAAATGGTATACGATTTCCTGCTTGAGCAGGGGGCTGGACTAGAAGACCTCCAAGGTCCCCTCCAGCTCTATTCTGATTCTGATTCATCTGGAACATTCAGCATAAAGACTGTATCAGGCAGAAGACTAGCAGAGCGCATCCATGAACACCAACCAGCAGTCAGAAGACGGGATGAAAACTCTTTAAAACTCAAAAACTTTACTCTAAACTTTAAAAAAACCATAGTTTCAACTGGGCAACTGTGACCATCCTAGTCCAAGCCAAGTCCAAAAAATGCTAGAGAAATTCCTGGAAGCCTGGCACTCCGACAAATTGGCCACGAATAGACATAAACAACATTTATATATTGGGCAAAGGAGACACTCAACAAGCCATAATGGGAACCAAAAAACCAAAACATCTCCTCACCAGCAATCAACATAGTTATTGTGTTTCCGCGAAAATAAGATCGGGTCTTATATTAATTTTTGCTCCAAAAGACGCAATATTTTCCAGTTAAGTCTTATTTTCGGAGAAATAAGGCACTAAATGTATCTGTCTGGCTGGCAATCTTAACTGGGGCTTATTTTTGGAGCAGGGCTTATATAATGAGCATCCTGAAAAAACATGCTAGGGCTAATTTTCCAGTTGGGTCTTATTTTCAGGGAAATGGGGGGGGGGGGGTAACAGCAAAGTTAACATCAGACCAACAATCAAGAAGTTAAAAAAATATATGTCAAGAATACACAGATGCTTAGAGAAAATGATTGAAAAACATATAGACTGTAAGCCAGAATTGTTTTTGTTAGGCATAACAGTAGGAAACTATGAGGGAGAATGTATATATCTATTTTTACATGTATTAACTGCAGCAAGGATAGTCTTTGCTCAATATTGGAAAAATGAAAACCTACCAACGGAGGAAGAATTAGTTAAGAAAATCTTAGATTGTGCACTTTACCTGTCTGACTGGGAACTTCTATTTTCTCTTTCTTCTAAGTCATATGAAATCTTGTACCCTGTTAAAAATAGTTACCGATCTTTTTGCTCAGTCTCTCTTTCCTTGTACTATACATGATACATTGTACTTTATACACCGACCTTAAGTACTGTAATTCTTTTGCATAATTTCTACTGTTTTGTTTAACACATTGGCGATTCCATATTCCTCCCCCCTCCCCAAAATACACACACAGAGATTCATATTTCTTTTGACTGATATAAAACTTGTGGGGTTTTTTCTCCGCACATTTAAAAGAAGATTGCTTGGCATCCATAGTCATCATTATGGGATATACATTTTTTTTTCTTTTCAAAATGTTGCTTGTTTATTCGAAGGAAATGCGCACATTCCCTGCCTTTTGCTGTGGGTGGTTTTTGAAGAAGCCGGTCAAGCCCACCAATTGAAAACTTCAAATTTTCAATCCCTTTCTTGCAAACCGCCATGACTTCTCCCAGAAAGTGAGAAAATGATGGAGTTATAATAAGCGCGGCTTCAGGAGCCCAGAAAGGGAAGCGTTTTTGCAGTTAAATGACAATGTTTCTTTGTGTTTAACTGAAGTTACAGATATAAATTTAGAAGGAATGAGCTGGAAGGGGCTGTTACCTAATCTAACCCTTTACTCCGTCCAAAAATCCGCTGAAGGATGCCTGACAGATGCCACCACCAGAATTCCTGAACGATGGATCTGTGTGTCACACTTTCCTACCAGACTGTAGAGCAGGGGTCTTCAAACTTGGCCCTTTTATGACTTGTGGACTTCAACTCCCAGAATTCCTCAGCCAGCGTGCCTGGCTGAGGAATTCTGGGAGTTGAAGTCCACAAGTCATAAAAGGGCCAAGTTTGAAGACCCCTGTTCTAGTCCAACCCCTGTTCAGGCAGGAGACCCTATACCAGTGGTGGCGAACCTATGGCACGGGTGCCAGAGGCGGCACTCAGAGCCCTCTCCGTGGGCACGTGCGCCGTCACCCCAGTCCTAGGCCTTCAGCTGGGTTTTATAAAACCTTTTCGCTTTAGGCCTCCACCACCGTGTGCAAAAAAAAAGGTTCAATCAGTCAATTTCAATTTCTTGCGAGGAAAAAAAAAGATCTTGCAAAGTTGGAATTGATTGATTGAACTTTTTAGTCCCACCCAGTCTGCCGTTACCACCGCAGCCACGCCCACCCAATGGGCCACACCCACACGGCACTCAACGATGCATAAGTGGGTTTTGGGTTGCAGTTTGGGCACTCGGTCTCTAAAAGGTTCGCCATCACTGCCTTATACCATTTCAGGCAAATGGTTATCCAGCCTCCTTTTTTAAAAAGCCTCCATTGATGGAACACCCACAACTTCTAGAGGCAAGTCGTTCCACTGGTTAATTGCTCTCACCGTTAGGAAATTTCTCCTTTGTTCTAGGTTGCTTCTCTCCTAGTTCTATCTGGTTTCCCAATCCTCGCTATTTCTAATCGTTTTTGAATACAGGTAGTCCTCAGTTAGTGACCGTTCGAAGTTACAGCAGCACTGAAAAAGTGACTGATGACTGTTTTCACACTTATGACCATTGCAGTGTCCCAGGGTCATGTGATCTCCTTTTGCAACCTTCTGTCAGGCAAAGTCAATGGGGAAACCCGGAAACCAGATTCATTTAACAACCATGTTACTAATTTAAGAACTGCAGCGATTCACTTAACAACTGTGACAAGAAAGGTCGTAAAATGGAACAAAGCTCGCTTAACGACTGTCTGGTAGAGCAACATAGGTTTTGGGGTCAATTGTGGTCGTTAAGTCGAGGACTACCTGTATTTGGGCTAGGATTTCAAAAGCCACCCTCCACGTCTTCTCTCTGGGTAGGTGGCCTGCAGCTGATGCCCGCAGAGGTACCACTTTTTACTCTTTAATCTTACCCAGATGTTTTCCATAGGATTTCCATATTCAGAGACGTGAATTTTTTTTTTTACAGGCATATATCATCACGCTGTGAAAATATATATTTCTTCATTCACATTTATATTTGTGTCAAAATGGTGGCCCTCCAGATGTTGTTTCAGCCTTGATCGTGCCTGACCACCGGCTCTGCCGGGGCTGGGCTCCTGCCGTGCCTGTGGGTTTCTGGATAACCATTTTGGGAGTGAACGTTGGATTTAAGTCGAAAATCCCCCTTTTATAAAAAAAAAAGCACAGCTACATTGAAGTTCCAACCATGTCTAGTTTAACGAAGAGAAGGACCAGGGGTGACACGATGAAAGTCTTCCAGTATCTCAGGGGTCGCCCCAAAGAAGAGGGAGTCAAGCTGTTCTCCAAAGCACTTGAAGGCAGGACAGGAAGCAACGGATGGAAATAAAGATGATTAGGGGACTGGAGGCTAAAGCATATAAGGAACGGTTGCTGGAATTGGGTCTGTCTAGTTTAATGAAGAGAAGGATGAGGGGGGACATGATAGCAGTGTTCCAGTATCTCAGGGGCTGCCCCAAAGAAGAGGGAGTCAAGCTATTCTCCAAAGCGCCTGAAGGCAGGACAAGAAGCAACGAATGGAAACTAATCAAGGAGAGAAGCAACCTAGAACTAAGGAGAAACTTCCTGACAGTGAGAACAATTAACCAGTGGAACCACCTGCCTCCAGAAGCGGTGAATGCTCCAACACTGAAAGTTTTTAAGAAGAGACTGGACAGCCATTTGTCCAAAATGGTGTAGGGTTTCCTGCCTGATCAGGACTAGATGACCTCCAAGGTCCCTTCCAACTTTATCATCATCATCATCATCATCATCATCATCATCATCATCATCATCATCATCATCATCATCATCATTATGTGAAAATGCCTTTCTGATGCCATTTTAATTGGTTTGACCAATTAACTTGTTTGACTTTTTTTTGTATTTTATTGTTACAGGAGGGTTTTTTTTTGTATTTTATTGTTACAGAACCTGCAGTTTTCTTATTTTGGCCTAGATCTCTTTTGAGGAAAGGGGAGTGACGCAACTTCAATAAATGCTTTTTGGCTGTACGCAACCCTAGAAGGAAAGTCAGTATAAAAACTACTTTTAAATAAAAAGTACATCGCCGTGTAAGCCACTGAAAGGGCTCCCGATCCACTCACTTTGGCTGCGCTGATGACTGTGGCGGTGTAGGACTGAATATTATCTCCGCAAGCTCCACCCCGGGACTGATGGCACCGAATCAGCTGCAAGAAAAAAGAATTGGCATTAGGTCAAGCCAACGAGACAGCAGACCCCTCGGGAAGACCCTTCCATCTACCCCTCCACCCCACTGCAAGTAGTGTATCATGATTTTGACAGATGAAACTCTTCAAAAAAAACTTCGAGGCATTGTTTACCTTAAAGGATCTTTTATTTGAGTAGCATAATATTGGCACTGCATAATCGAAGCCAAAAACTGAATTCCCCTCCCCTGAGCACATAGTATCAAAGCACAATTCCCTCCTCCAATTAACAGTCATAAATCACATTCCCCAATTAGCTTGAATTGCGGGCTTCCTCTCCAGTCCTCCAGCCCGACAATTCCTTATCAGCTCTGGTTACAATAACCTTGATTCTCACACTAGGTTTAGTATTGTTATGTCTAGCTAGACTCTCGTTCACATCCCCCCTCCCAGCATCAACTAAAAGCAAAAGGGAAAAGATGGCTACATTTCCCTCTGTTGTCAATGCAAAAACATCCGATGTTAGCAGCGTTGACATAGTGCTCGATTACAGTTCATTTAGTGATCCTGACCACAGGACTGAAAAAAGTGACCTATGACTGTTTTTCACAGTTGTGCCCTTTGTGGCGTCCCCATGGTCATGTGATCAGAAGTTAGAGGCTCGGCAACTGGCATGTATTTATGACGGTTGAGGTGATCACATTTTGTGACCTCCTGACGAGCAAAGTCAACGGGGAAGCCAGATTCACTTAAGGATGTTCCTAACTGAACAACGGCAGTGATTCACTTCATGTCTGTGGTAAGAACGGTTGGTAAAATAGGGAAAAACTTCACTTAACCACTGTCTCGCTTAGCAATGCAAATTTGGGGCTTGGTTGTGGTAGTAAGACAAGACAAGACAAGACAAGATAACCTTTGCTGTCATTTTTTCACTGTGGGCCCAATGGCACACATCAAAAATGAAATTTAGTTGCCCGCTCTCAAAATGAAACACATACAAGACACACACCTAAACGTACTATATACAACATATGTATAGACCCACACCCCTACATATACATAACAGAGAAGACCAACAAAGATGATCAGGGGACTGGAGGCTAAAACATATAAGGAACGGCTGCTGGAATTGGGTATGTCTAGTTTAATGAAGAGAAGGACGAGTGGGGACATGATAGCAGTGTTCCAGTATCTCAGGGGCTGCCCCAAAGAAGAGGGAGTCAAGCTATTCTCCAAAGCACTTTCTGAAGGCAGGACAAGAAGCAACGGATGGAAACTAATCAAGGAGAGATGCAACCTGGAACTAAGGAGAAACTTCCTGACAGTGAGAACAATTAATCAGGGGAACAACCTGCCTCCAGAAGCGGTGAATGCTCCAACACTGGAAGTTTTTAAGAAGAGACTGGACAGCCATTTGTCCGAAATGGTGTAGGGTTTCCTGCCTGAGCAGGGGGTTGGACTAGATGACCTCCAAGGTCCCTTCCAACTTTTTATTATTATTATTATTATTATTATTATTATTATTATTATTATTATTATTAT